AGAAGAAATGATGTACTCTTGGAATTTCTTTACTTGATAACTTTTGGCAGTAAATAAAGGAGAGGTTACATTCTGAGACTGGTCTGCCAGAAGACAGAGAATCTTGAAAAGACTCCAAGGACTCCAAAAATGGCAGGGATAGTGAATGACACATAAAGTAATAACTTACTGCCAAAGGGGATGGACTGTGATGCCTTTGGTTTTGCAAGTCTCTGCATCTATTAGAATACAGTGCTTTTATTACAATTGGTAATGCACTCAGTGATCCGAAGCAAAATGAAGTGAATGGAAGGCCTGCCAGTGGTTTCAGTGAGTTCTGAATGAGATTTTTTTCTACACCAATTGCTGCAACGGCATACTACAGATCTGTTTTGTGATGCCCAGAAGTTCTTCAGATCATGCTTTGAAAAATACAAGCTGCCATGTTTGTGCAGTCAGATCCTTCCAGAAAACACTATATTCAAGGATGTGCAGAATTCTGCATGGATATATAGCAGATTTTTATTTATTTATTTATTTATTTTTGCAAAGGTCAAGTCCAGCAAGGCAGCTCCAGGGCTCATGCATAGGACTTGCAGACAAAGCTCAGAGTTTCTCAGTTTCATTGTGAATACAAATACACAGCCAAGCTGACAACCACCATCCAGGATTTTTGCTCCTTTGGTCAGTCAGCAAAAGTTACTGCACAGACATTAGTCTAGCCAAATTTCTAGGTGGAAAATGATGGCTTGAACAGAGGAATCCAGACACAGACTATCAGATGTGGGTAGGGCTTATAAATGTGAATTTGGAGGAAGGAGAATTGGCCAGAGAAACCATGTCATTTTGGATCAGTGTTCCTGATTGTCTGCGGACTGGATTGACCAATTGGAGGGAAGGTAGTAGCCCAGTTTTCTAGATGAGTTTCTTATCACCTCTTAACATGGCCACTGATGGTAATTCTGGCCATGTGAACACTCACCAGTTTTCTGTAATAAACACACAATAACTTAGTTTCTATAAAAGAGGTTGAGACCGTGGTGAAGGATTCTCTGCAGCTATTCTTTGTATAGAAGATCAGTACTTCATGCCCATGAAGGAAACAGAACTTGATATTGTTTACCTTATGATAAAAAGTAGAAAAGAACATTTATGTTTTCTGAAACATGCACTGCAGCTCCTGCCTCCTACATTAGTAGTTTGCTGGGACTCTAAACTCTTGCATGATTTATTTCTGTCTTTTTTAAGAAAGAAATCAACTCTGTAGAAAAATAAATGAAAAAAAAACCCAACAAAACAACATAGTGATTTTTTCACTAGTTTGTTATTACCAGAATTTGACCCTGTATTTGTAGGCAGAATTACAAACGCTATGAAGATAATAACTGCACAGAAGGACTATGAAAATTTATCACAGAAATATAATCACATTTCATTTGAAAGAAGCTATCTAGATTTTTCTCTTCAGTGTGTGCAAACACAAATACCAGCTGGAGTTACATGAGTTTCTCTGATAGTAATGCGTACTATTTATTTCCATGGAAAGTACAACAGCTAAAAAGAGTACCATAACACTGCTTGACAGAGAAAATTCTCAGATATAAAACACTGTTTTTCAACATAGTCACCATCAAGAGCCATGCATTTTCACCAGTGAACAGGCATGCCACACTTGTAACAATCTGTACCAGTGGAGATGACCCACTGCCATTGTCACCACTGCTGAAATGCCCATCCATCACTGTGCTCACATTCAGTGGTTGGTCTCCAGAAATGTTCAGCAAGTGTCAATGAATGTCAGTGGGTGCCATTTTTTCAAGAATTTAATGACACACCTTTGCTTCCATGTCAGATGCCATTTTGGAAGATTGCTGCATCTCTCACATGGCAGCAACATGTAATGGGATACTGTTGGGAAAGTTCAGCCTCTACTGCCATACCACCAGTATCTCCCTCTGACATCATGAGTCAACACAGTAAAACAGGAGGCGTGACATTCGGAGCTGCCCCTGTATTTTCATTCTCTCATTAACTTTCAGTTTCTTTCCTTTTCTTTTCAGCAGTCTTGAACTTACATTTAATTTTCAATATCTGGAAGCCTAATATCTATGCTTCTGTGACCTAACATTATGAAAAGCTGTGTATCAAAATGAATATTGGTTTTTAATATGAAAAAAAGTGATTTCAAGGAAGTAGAACTTTATCACATCATGTCATGTTGAGGTTGAGAACAATGTGTGGGTAATTACTTCTAAAATGTTCCACTTGCGTCATTTTGATAGTAACTCAGAAACTGACCAAAAAAAACTAACAATGATTCTTCTGAGCACAATTCTTCTTCACTTTTTTTTTTCTTTAACATAAAGGAATTACTCATAAAATTGGTAGATGTTGATGCTTTGCTTTTGTTTTAGTTATTTGCTTATTTATTTTTGGTAAAGTTCTAACAAAATAGTTGAGAAGAAAGAAGAAAGAATACCCTTAATTTATCAGCTTGGCATGAGCCAGTGAGTAAATTCAGGGTAAGTTTAAGTTCTATAAATATGTGTTAATTGTGTGTTAATAAGAATAGGACACAAGGTAGAATGGGGAAGAACTCAGCTCTTGTAATCAAATATAGTCTGTTCTCACAGAGCAGTTGCATCTGTTTTTTCCGTACTCTTGCAAAAATAACCATCCTGTCATGTCTGATTCTCTTAGATATTCATGCTTGGAGCAATTTTAAAATGAATGTTTTATTGACAGCCCAACTTCCTGCGTCTTGGCAGTATGTAGACAGAACTTAGATAAACACTGCTTTTAAGGAGCCATTTGGGGACTTCAGATTCAACACTATTTTGAAGTAATTATTTTCATATTTTTATTTCTAAATGCATTTCAGGTGGACAGATTTTATTAAGAAATACAATTTTTGTACTAAGCTACAGATAGGGCTTTAAAATTGCTGTGTTCTTGCAACAGCAACAGCAAGAAAAACATTCTCCTTCCTTTTGTAAGGAATTGGATACTGCTGACAGTATACAGCAGGGACCTGTATACAGACATGGGTGTTCTACTTAAATGTGTACAGAAAGTTTATTTTGAAGTGTTGGTTCATGTTGGTCCCAAGATTCTTCAGACACGGCTTTGGTTGAATTCACAGAGTGGAAATGCAATAATGAGGTGCAGCCCCAGTGAAATAAATGTGCTGGGCTCTCTTATGGGGTACATGTCTTCTGACAAAGGAACAGCAGAGAAAACTAGGAGAGGATGGGATAGGGCCAGAACGTCACCTCTGACAGATGAGATAAATCTATTTAATTTTGAAGATAGAGAAGGACATCTCCAATAATCAAACTGCTACAGTCAACATATTCTGGATCTTCACATTTCTTCTACTCAGAAGAAGCCCAGAAACTTATCCAGAGAATGCTTTTCAACTCAAACAAGACAGAATTCAGGAAGGATAAATGTTTCATCTGGATCAAAGGCATAAGATGAAGTATTTCTAAATTATCTTTATGGATATGCTATCACTGCAGAGCTTCTTAGTAGGGTATGTTTTCTCTGTTGGAAATGTGAGTGGAAAGCTCCACTACAGTGATTGTACCACTTCTAATTCTCAAGTCAGTTAATTTGGAAGAAAGCTGGAATGTATAATATTTGGAAGAAATCATGGAATCAAGTTGTACCATCTAGACACAGTCTTCAGTGACTATGAGCTTGCTATCTACAGATCCTGCATGGTTCTTGCCAAGATTCTCTCTTTGTTGACTTTCTTCTCAGAGTGTTCATTTGGTAATATTGACAGAACAAATGTTAAGAAAGTTTAAATTTGAAATTCAGTGTTAATATACAAAATATTTTTAGTTTTTCATGGAAAATTATACATAGTTCCAAGTGAACAAGTGAAGCTGAACCAACTGTTGTAGACACCGGATTTTTAAGTGATACTTTCTCAATACCAACAGAAGAGTAACACAATCTGTGCAGTTTTTAAAGCTGGTCTATATATGCTCAATTTTAACAAACTACAGTACTTGGAATCAGACTGAATATGATACAGAGGGTAAAGCAGAAAAAACACAGCATGCCGTTTGGAATTGATTGTATGCAATACAAGCATTCAACATTTGTGCTTTCCTTACAGTTAGCATAGTTTTATGATCCCAGTCCTTGTGATTCTGGGCAGCTGAAAAGAGGATCATATCTCATGACTCCACAGACCATTGTTAACTGATCTACCTATGAGTTCTCTTCCAGAAAACTGCACAAAACCTGAGCATGCAATATAAATTCCACTGGGAATGCTATTGACAGAAGCATTAAAATGTGCCCATGCTGAACAGTGTTTCTATGTTGTCTAATCAAATAATATATTCTGTAATCTGTATTCTCATCTACAGCAGCTGTTCTGTATTAAAAAGACCAGAAAATTCAAGTGAGAGGATATTTTTGTGTGTAGACTGAAGTGCAGGCATCACTTGAATAAGAACATGGATTGATCCTACCGCGAAGCAGAGAAAGACATCAGGACTTCTCTGAAAATACTGTCCAGAGATATCTTTTAGGTGTATATATGTCACATATATGTATTTTATATATATATGTATGTATGTTTATATATCAATCTGATTGAGATTCATAACTAACCATGCCATGATATTTGGGAGTCTAACAGTCCAGAAAAGATTAGACAAAGTCCCCAGCCAGATAAAATGTTCAGTTTTCAGGAAAGTGATTTCAAAAATCCAGATAAGTACCTAGATACTTCAGAAAGTCTATTCTATATCCTGATGCCTAAGTGACAAAGCTAGCAGTGAATCATTAAAAATCCATAGCTTTGAGCCCTCTGGCTATCCCATAAACCAACAGAAAACACTAATCCAAATGCAATGGTATTGCAACAGTTTAGCATCACATTGACAGTACTTTTTCAGTTATTCTTATTAGATATTCTTACATAGATTGTTGAGAAACTTCAAAATTACTGTAATTTTTCTTGGTGATAACAAACCAGTGGTACAAAATAATTGCCTTACTTTTGGAAGGGAAGCTCTCGATCCTGAACTTTGAGTGGTCATTGTCAAAACTGTAGTGATACCCAATGCGACTCTTGCTGGAGCAGCATCCATGTTGATCCAGAAAGAAACCCAGGACAAAATGACAATCAGCAGGCTAGGAATGTACATCTGGATTAAATAGTATCCCATCTGACGCTCCAAATGAAACTTGACTTCAATGCATGTAAACTTTCCTAGAACATGAAATTACTTTCATAAATGCTTTTTGCACAGTTTTATCCTGCTTTCTGAACATAAACTACGTGTGAACGTAAAGCTATGAGTCAGCTACTTGTTGAGCTTAAGAGTGGGAGGGACACGGAGTCCCTGAAACAGACTGTACTCAATTCTTTACATTATCTGAGAAAACAAGTATTTGTACAGTTGTTTCACCTCTAGAAAAAAGGATGTTGTTTTTTCTTCCTAAAATTTAACAAGATTTTGTTTTACTCAAATACAAAGTTTAATGTTAAAAGACAACAGAATTTTGCTCTTTTAATTGCATTAGATAAAGCAAACGTAATTAAATGAATTGTAAAAAATTAGTCTTAATGTCCTATAGTAGATTAAAATCCTTTTCATTCTGATCACATCATTTACTTGAGCCTGCGGGTTACTCCTTCTAGCGGAATCAATTCAAAGCTGACTGAGTTTCACCAAAAATCTAACTCTAGGAAACACCCAAGAATCTCTTGTGGGAGGTAAGTGATCCTTCATATAATAAATACCTACTTTGCAAGAGTGGAGGAAGACAGAATTTTAAGAAAGTAGAGATAGCCATGCTGTGGGGAATGCAATGTCCTGAGTTGCAGCAGCTCACCGGCCATTAATCCAATCACTTTTTGCTGCTCTCCAAAATGGTGTGCCTTGGCTGGGGTTTTAGTTCTACGAAAGCTCACACTCAATGCTAACCCAAATAAACGAACATCTGTCATTTGTGAAACATCATACTAATTATTTCAAAGACCCTCTGTTGTGTTAGTTGGGCAAAAGCACTGACATGCATTGCTCCTTCCTCACGATTTGTGGATGAAAGGCAAATTTTTCTCTCTCTTTTTTTTTTTTTTTCTTTGTGATAAACATACTTTTCTGTCGATGTACAAAGCTGAGTGGCAGGTTCAGACAGGCATGAGAGTTGGCACAAAGTACAATACAGTGGAAATTTGGCAAATTGAGGAGGGGAGAAAAATTGAATACTCTGGAAAGACAGACGTTGTGATATCAGTGAACTGACCCATCATCCCAAAGACAGACTAAGACTCTGAGACCTGTGCAGTGATACATCAGGACTGCCAAAACAGAAGGGATCTGGTCTTTTAAAAGATGGGGTTCCAGCCATGATTGTGATGGTGTTAGAATAGCCCAAGCTGTGGAACACTCTCCACATTCCAATGGCATAACCTGGGCAGAGCTCCTTGCAGCATGGGTGGGATGAGAAAGCTGAATAATGTAGCTTTCATCTATATTTTGATTTCACCTCAAACCTGAAGGAGCATACCTCAGAAAAGACAGCAATAAACACACGTAGGTGAAATTTTATTTCATCTGAATCCTGCTCTTCATTTCCCTTTTTCAGGGTACATTCTTCAAGATTTAGTTAATTATTCACATATTTTGTTCAAATACACAAAGTGGGAGCTACTAACTGACATTTTTATCATCCGTGGGGAATCTCAATGAGTACATAAGAAAACAATTGCACATGCTCTCCTTTCTCTCTTACTTCACACTGCAAAATGGCTACCTGGGAGTCAGCAACTAGAAAAGCAGATTAATACATTTATTCAGAGCTTGAATCATGTGGCAGGAGACAGCTGAACTTTGCAATGGCCACATTGCAAGTACTTTAATTATGTTGATTGGAATTTACTCCCAATTATCCCTTTAAAATTTGAGAAAAAAAATAAAGTAGTAATAACACTCCTGATTTCCACGTATTTTGGACTGTGGAACCAAAAAAAAATCCTTTGCTGACACTTTGGGATCCCAAATGAGAAGTTGCATTAATAACAAAAGTAATTTTCTCTTCATGAGAAAGAAATGTGACTTTATTTTGGACAGGAGAAGAACATCTCATGTTGTTTTATTTCACAGAGTGAAACAAATGTCTTTGATGCAAGTGAACTGGCCCTTATGCTGAAATAATGAAAAAAAAAAAAAAAAAAGATTTTAGATGACAGGGATTATATCTAATCCTAGGAAGCATCCAGCAAACTGTTCTCTGTCCTTACTAATTATACTCCAAGCAGATAAATCCAAATTTAACAGACCTCTCCCTGCTAGTATAGCTACAGAAAGAAAACACACTTGAAACTTTTCAGAAAGTAAAGTAGGAAAACAAGGTTATTAAACAACTTTCCAACATTTTCTGTTTGCACTCTATTCAGATCAGCAGTGAAAGCATTGCCATTTCAAATACTACATCTCTGAAGTTAAACCTCATACAAAAGTTGGTGAAAAGTTGGTATTTTTCCTCACTGGCATTTTAATACAATGAAAAAATAAATCAAGCTAAAAAATTACTACTTTAAAACTGATTTATCAATATTAAAGAGGATATTTAGTTTGTTCTAAAATCTTCATTTTGAGGAAATCAGACTGACAAGATTTTTACAATTTTAGGACTCTGAAACCATAATGATTTTAAAGATTTTAGAATATTAGAGCATGTTTATTAGAGTATCCTTAATGATGTTTAAGGAAATTTGGGGAGAAAAACAAAAACCATTCAAGCAAATGAAAATAAAAAGGATATATTTTTCAGATTTAAAATATTTGTGGCTGAATCCAATTTTAATTTAAAAATAGATGTTGTTGTTGTTTTAATTTTACCCCTCTTTTCCCAGTTCACAGAGAAAAAAAAAAGCAAACAAAAAACCAAACAACAACAGAATAATGCTTACCAGTGTTGTAATGTTTTGTGCAATAACCAAGTTCTTTATCTTCTTTCAAAATAAACTGTGGCAAGGTTAAACCTTCTGCAACTTGCACAGGTCCATCACTCAGCCACTCGAAAATCAGATCATTCATGGTGTAGCCAACTACAACAAAGAAATCAGATTCATTACAAAGTAATGAAAACCTTGAAGGCAAGAATTACTATGGCTTACAAATATGTCAGTTATTCCAGTAAAAGTTAGCTATAATTTTAAGCCTTCTGATTAACTACAGCACAATTGCAATTAGTTGCTTGTTACTAATATTGCATTACTGCTATGTTAAAAGCAACAAATAAGTAAGGTAATTAACTTCTGAAATAGTGTCTTGGTTTGCCACTAAAAATAATATTTATGACCCATGAAAGATACTATTTACAAATGAGTTAGCATTTTTCTTTGCCTATGTATCAGCCAGCATTTTGCTTACTTTTTATCGTTCTTTGACTGTATAGTTGTTGGGCAGAACAAAACCAGGATTTCTAGAATAGGTGATAGTGCAGGTTTTGTAAACCTGTGATGTACCGGAGAGGTGTGAAGCTGTAGAGAGAAGCTTGGACTTTCTGAAGTATCTTTGCAACTGCAGTTTCCACACAGCTAAGAGGAAACTAAACAATCTGTGTCCAAGCTCCAGCCTCAAATACAAGTAGTAACCTTGACTTGCAGCTCATACTTATATAGATAAACCCATTATCTCTTCCCCACAAAACAAAACAAAACCAAAATAAAAATTCAAAAAACAAGGTGGTTTGACACATACTGTCTGTGCAAAGGACAAGAGGCAGTGGGCATATGTTGGCATGCATGAGGTTCCCCCTAGACACCAGGCAGCATTTCTGTGTTGGAGATGATGGAGCACTAACACAGGCTTCCCAGAGAGACACTGAAGTCTCCTTGGAGATTTCCAAAAGCCACCTGGACAAGGGCCTGGCATCCTGCTCTGGGTTGTACCAGATGAACTCAAAGATCTCTTCCAATCATTCTATGATTCTGTGAAATCTTTTTTCAAAAGACCGTGACTCGTCTTGATCAAACATAACATCCCTGGCTGTGACCTACTTGTTCTTACTTTCTTGAGATTTGTTTTCTCGGGTATGGCACTGCTGTGGTTATTCCTGGAAGTGACACAGCCCTGATTGGATAGGTGGGAGAATAAAGAAAGGAGCTGGAACAGCATGGAGTAAGGAACAACACTTCAGTTAAAATACTTTTTCTCCAGGAGTACCCCTTACAAAAGAGGAATATTGATTCTGACCACACACATATAGCAATGTAAATACTATCAAACCACCAAAATTATGGTAAAACTTGTTTTGTTTTGTTTTTACTAGGCAAAGCAATCGGACACTCACAGCTCTCTAGCTGCATTGTGCATGTCTGTACATCCATAGGAAAATTCTTCAAGTCCATGGGACATGATAAGGTTAAAGTAAGCCTAAAATTGGAGGGAAAAAAAAAAAAAAAAAAAAAACACTTGTTAGAAATATACAGATTTTATTCAAAGCCCCATATTTATACTTTGAAGGATCAAGGCCAAATCTTAGAGCCTCAGAAGATGGACTCCTCATCCCCTCTTAGGTTTTAAGGACAAAAGAGACTGTGAAGATAGAGCGTGTAAAGCAAAACAGGCTCTCACTGGCTGCACTGGCTGGACAGAACAGAGGCAGAGGCAAGATAGCAAGAGATGCTCCCCACTAATGTACCACTGAATGAATAACAGTGAACCTAAATAATGCAAAACCTAAAATGACTGATTTTGAGACATACATTTTTAGGTTTTGTTTTGGAACAGCAAAGGAAGAAAACATAAAAATCAAGGGGTTTCTTCAACAGGGAGTGCTTTTTTGTGTATGAGAGCCAGTTCCAACCCTTCATTCTTACTTCTTAGCCATTAAAAGAAAACAACAACAAAAACAACAACAAATACATTAAAAGCCACAATCACATTGCATTAAAAGATAGAGAGTTCAGGAACAACACAGTAAGCCTAAAGGAGCGTTATCATAAAGATTAAATTTCTCCTTATTTTTCATCTGTTTTGTCCCAGATAAGGCATAATTTTACTTGGACAGGCATACGCTTATTGTTTCTTTCCTTTCTTTTTTTTTCTTTCTCTCATTATTTTGGGTTTAGTTTACTTTTCTACATTTGATTAAAATTTATGTTTCAAGTCTTCTTCTCCACTGTTTTCTTCTTGTTTCCATGGGGAGAAGGAAATGCTTTTAATAAACAAGATATTGGGTTGACAGACTTACAAATAACTATCTTCTTTGAAAAAAGTACAGAAAAAAATATTAAGAGTTTGGTTTAAGTTATATTTAAAGAATACATGTATTATTTCAGATTACTTTCAACACTTCAACACAAAGAAAGCAAATAAACAAAAACCTCAGTGTTCACTTGTCATCAAGTACAAGAACTAAATTGTCTCACTTGAAAGTACACTGAAGCATTAATATGGTACAATGAGAAGACGTTTTTAATTATGCCAGTGAACAAATGTGCCAGCTGCTAATCTGGAAATTGTGTTGTCACAAAGTCAAATGTAATTTATATGGAGACATATCTCACTCAACTCTGTCCCCTGTAGTGATTTTGTTCTCCTCAAGTCATTCGTGTTTCTCAGTACATACACAATCTAGTTCAGTCTGTTTCTTTACCATGAGAATTTTATGGGAAGGCCTGACTGTACTTTTTAGTCTTACCATCCTGCAATCAAATCACTATGATAAGAAGATGATATTTAGGTAACTACAATCAAAGTGTAATCATTTTGATAAAAAATCCTACTACTCATCTCTGTGCTTTTGCTTATCCATGAGCTACATAGAGAATGTACCATTCTTGTCCTATCGACACAGGTTTCAGTGCGCAGAATGTCAATATCAGGAAATCAGAAATTGGTTATTAGTGGCACTAAAGTGCATTGTGATGAAGAAAATCACCCAGCAGTCCTCTCTACATCACAGTAAATAAACTCTTACTTAACCTTTGAGAGCACTTAGCATAAGCATTAAAAATATAAGCCATCTAGGGGGAAAAAAAAAAGAAGAACACATTTAGTAGAGGTATGAATGCCTTTGGAAACATGCCCCTTACCACTGTAAATATTTTAAGTGTCCTGCAAATGTTAATTGGCCTCATTTTACTAGTTTCCTGGATTAAAGATTGAACTATTTAAATTGCTAATCCCCAGTAGTGACAAAAGACTGCTTCTGCTTTTTTTTTTTAATTTGAAATGTTGACATACCAAACTCCCTTCCTTCTTTGCAGTCATACTCTGAAAATGGGTTAGATTTTTGAAGTTCACTTCAAGTATGTCTTTATGCAAATGATTTTCTAAAGAGATGCAAAATACATCATTATATTCTGAAGAAGATATAACCTATACACTGTTTAGATTTTACTGACCATCAGTCGTGGACTGTACACTCACTGTGTTTCCTCTCCCCTTCATCCCTTTTCTCCACTCCAGAACCCTCAAGAAATCTGAGGGTTTAACTATATACATGGGCAGGGGTATCCAATCTATTAGTTCAGTATGAAACTCATGAGTAATCAAGTGCTTCCAAGTTTCTCAAGGATGAAGTGATCTATTTCCCCTGGTGGCTAGATGGATGTGTCAATTATTCATCTGGAGGTGAGTTGAGGAAATGAGCATTATGCTGTTTCACACAAAGGTCGACATCTCTTCTTTCTCTCCCTAAGCAACGACGTCTTTCAAAAAGCCTAAATTATTCTCTGCTTACCCACACAATTGGAAAATAACTTTTATTCAATGATTGTTGAGGCAAGCACAAGAGATCATGCCCTTTTAACTTGTTCTTCATCTCAGCATAGTAGTCACTCATAGTTAGCATCTTTTCTTCTGTAATCCCTTTTATTGGGATTAACAAAAGTATTAAATTCAGCACTTATTGCCTGGTAAACCTACTGATTTTCTACAGGATCATTACAATCTAATGTTTGGCTACTGGAGTCTGAAGTAGCTCAAATGAAGTCCATGGTGGTGGGGCCATAGCATAGGGTTCATAGCAGTTGACTCTTACATAGTAAAAACATCATTCTGCAATTTTTTTTACCAAATCCATTGCCATGTCACTACTTGTACATTTACTCCAATAGGGAAAGAGGATCAGAAATGGTTAGGCAGCTGTAGCTACCCACACTGCCTATAACAACGTCATTGACAGAAAATATATTTAAAAAAAAAAAAAAAAAAAAAGAATGAATGTCTCACACTTACTTGGCAAATTCAAGAGGAGCCCCTGGAGATTTGGTACAAAGTGCAATTTTAACTGGCAATTACATTGATGAATACTGTAATCATTAATACATCAGAAGAAACTGCTATAGAACAATTACTTTTCAGCACCCCGCTATCAAGGCAGTTGAGATGTACAAACAACATGTTTTGTAACCATCCCCTGTTACTCAGGCTTGGGTTACACAGGTAGCTCAGGAGGAGAGCTCTGGGGCTTAACAGAGCAGACAGGGACCAGAAGAGAATTGCTGAGCTGGGGATCCTTCTGTTTACATCAGGCACAGTGCCAGGTCCAGCAGGACACCCTGCAGGCAAAGCCAAGTGACTCCCGGCTTTCCCTCATCCATCCCAATGTCAAGGAAGAACTGAGCCCTGGGATTTGAACAGAACAAAATGCAGAAGCGGAGCCAGAAAGCAGAAAGTGAAAAATTAGCCATCACTGTGACAAAATAATAATGAAAAAGAAACCACTACTGAGCAATACTGTAGCAGAGGCAGGGCTGTAATTCAAATACTCTAGGGACCTACTTTGTGAGGTTTCTTTCATATGTTAGGTCTGTCCTTCTGAGCAGCATCTCTTGACTCCTGTAATGCCTTCAAGGTACCAAGGGCACCGCTGGTATTTCTTCACCTAGCATTTCACTCAAGATCCCCTCTTTCATCCCTGGGTTTTACCAGAACATCCTGAGAAATTGTTCAGACCCGGGCTGTGGGCCTGTCTCTCTTCCCACCCCAGCTCAGCATCATTCATTTCTGATCACTTCAGAAAGATACCTTATCAGTATCATTCAAAGTTCTGTGTTTCCTACTTCTGCAAGCAGGGGGACAGCAGTTCTGAAAGCTGTGGCTTATGTTACTGTAGAAGCCAGAATAATGCATCCTGTCCACCCCACATCTCTCCCTTTCTGTATTCATCCATTTTAAAACCCCAGCCTCTTTCCTCTGCATCCTAATTTATTGCTGCCCTTCTCTTTCCCCTTGTTCTGTTTTTATCCCAGTTCCTGCCACATCCCACCCCCAGCTTTCTTTGGAGTACTAAGGCATGGGGTCAGTCCTTGTTTTGACACATAATTGCCAAAGTAGCACCATCAGTGAAGATTACTCAGACGGACTCTTTTCATACCAATAAATAAATGAATAACATAAATCAATAATTCTTCAATATTTGTGAGCAGATTATTCTCAACATCATCTCCAGTCTCTTTCTTCATCTCAGAGTTTTTGAATACTAATGCTTATCATCATAATATTGAATATCTGTGGCTCCAGCCACAGGTATTACTTCTCTGATAATCCCCAAATGCTAGAAAAAGTTTAGAACGTTATGCATATAAACTTCTTGTGAATGGTCAGAAACGTAAAACTGAAGTAAAGAACTGCCAGTACTGGGTTAGGCCCTTAGGGAACTGGGTTTACATGTTACATAATCCAATATTTACTTTCATTTTTTTAGAAATGTAAGAAAATATCTCATTTGAGCTACAATTGCCTGATCCACAGCAAATATTAAACTGTACTCCAACGCACTTCATGCTTACAAGCAGCTAACAGCTGGTGTGCTGTGACTCCCCCAGAACCTCATTTGATCTATGCAATAGCTCTCCCCCAGAAAGAAGGCCTTTATCCCACAAGATAGTCTGGATCTCCAAGCACCAGGTGTCTGACAAGAAGGGAAATGACATTTTCATGAAAAAACCTGCAAGTGTTTGTGAGCAGGTTATGGTACACCAGCTGCCTCTGTATCGTTTTTCCTAATGAGAAAATACTGGGATCAGACTCTGGAATTTCAGAGGTACTGCTGGAAATGTAAATAATGCATATTAGGGCACAAGTCTTTCCTATCTCCTACAAAAGGCATGATTGGCTCCTCACACATGAAAAGCAGCAAAAGCCTCACCATGAGTGGGCATGATATGAAAAATAACTCTTGGGTTCTATTCTTATCCCTTCATTCTTTCAAGTGACACCCATCCACAGCTTAGTTGGTGGGACGGGAGTTGGTGTTAGAAACAACATCTTATCTTCTTTTTTTTTTTTTTTCTTTTCTTTTTTTTTTTTTTTCTTTTTTTTTTCCTTCAGAAGATTAGACTTTTGATTCTTACAGCTGTTGAAATAACATAAAAATATTGCCTAAGCACAGGCAGGCAAAGTTCCCCATTAACTGGCAGGGG